CAATTTATTTCAAATAGAATTTTTTAGGTTCATGTAACATTTGTGTCAAGACAATTATAAAGTTTTCTTATGATGGAGTCAAGGAGGAGGTAGAAAACAATTTACACTGTCACAGTTTCATGCACTTGATAATTATTGGCACATTTTTTAAATTCACAATTACTAAGTAAAGTAGTGAGTAGCTGAAGATGAGTGTGAAACATTTATCAACAAAAAAAACCCAGCTAAAAAAGCAGCGAATATTATATGATGGGGAGAGAATAAAATGGTAATGTCACCATGAGATTTCTGAAGGTGAAACTCTATGGTTTGGTATGGTCTTCTGTCCCTAAGAGACCATAAAGAATCAATAAATGCAGTTTTAAGAACTTTGTATGAATGTGTGAACAAAAAAAGAAAATAAATCAATGGTCTGTTTTCTTTGGTGCTCACATTACAAATACATGAACAGCTGAAGTCTAATTGTGTGTGTCTTTTACTAGGCTGCCTCTGCCTCATTAGGCTACGGTATACGGTTCAACACTCTTTGCCCAGGTTTCGTCAAAACTGAACTCTTCTCCAACATCCCAAAGAAACTGGGACTCTTCTCCGAACTCACCGTCGTCACCCAACAACTCGTTGAAAATTTCGGGGTTTTAAAGTGAGTCTTTGTATATTATCATCATGTATGATAACATGCATATGGACATTCACTGATGTCACTGTACCTTTTTGTTTCAGTGTGTCTGAGGTTGCTGAGGCTTTCCTTGAGCTGGTGACAGATGAGACAAAGAACGGTGAGGCTCTGCTGGTCCTCCCAGAAAATGAAGAAGGGAAAGGAGGAAATAAATACATAACTTTCCCTTCAGCCCTTCAACAGTAGCTCTTGGCAGTGACAAACTACAACAATTCTGACAGTTCCAACCTTTAAACTGAAACCTGATACCTATTTCTTCATTCTCAAATGTGCACAATAAAGAAATAAATCCATTAAAAATAAAGAATTCAACTAATGGGGGAAATAATTATATTGTTGATTTATGTAATACATTGTTCAAGTTAAAACTGCAGGGTTTTTCATCTGTGCTGACAGCAACTGTGAGCAGAGGATAAACAACAACCTGGAAAACCTGTTTGTCAATTCATCATAAATACATCTGCTCCACTCTTATGAACTTGAAATTACCATCATGCCTTGAGGGACTCTCTTTAAATTTGGCACAATCGTTTGCTCGGACTCGCAAATTAACTGATCAGAATTCAGTCATCTAAGGTCAAAGTTTCGAGGTCATAATGACCTCATGATACAATATGTCTGGTGAAGACATTTTCTCAGCAATGTCTTGAAATTCTGTGACTGCACAAAAAAACGTGCTAATTGTGACAAATTATATTTGATAACTTTTATTAAACTCCTTTAAGGTCTTCTCTGTGTTTTTGGTTGTCCATTTGTCCATATGTACATCCATAGGGTTGTCCCATTCTTTAGGACTCATCTATCATCGCTCCACTGATTAGTTTTGAGGTCAAAGCTACTGTAATTTGACTTAACAAAAAACTTTTTTGCTCATAGCTCAAGCATTCATATTATAATGATGAGAAACAAGTTATTTTGTGAATCACTCATTTGTATATTCTAATTTACCCTCACCTGACTCCAGGCTCTTAAAGACTCAGTTCATCCAGTTCACCTTGTTTTTCTCAGCACTTAAGTTGATTAAGTTGTTATTTCACCATATTACCACATGTCGTTAAAAATATAGGCTCCTATCATGAAGTTGTAGTTTCTCAATAATATCATTGTGCTGTTGATTTTTTTTTTCTTTTACAAGGAGTTGATTATCAAACAGGAAAACAACATCAATATGAATTTAGAATTTCATCTCATATGTTTAATGTGTATTATAGAAATGTTTAAGGGAACACACACACACACACTCACACACTTCAGGACTAGAGACTATCCTGGCACTATGTCCGGCAGGAGGGAGTCTTAAACTATCAGAATCAGAATCGGAATCAGAAATACTTTATCAATCCCCAGAGGAAAATTCCAAAAGTCACATAGCTCCTGAGCAAGCGATGAAAAGGCAGGTATAGCAGTAAGAGTAAGAATCAAAAGCAAATCAAATTAAACAAGTAGACAAAAGTAAAAAGTAAAAGATGTGCATAAGTAGAATTAATAAGTTAAAAGGTACACTGTGTAGAATCTAGTGGTGAAGTTACATGTTGCAGCTGAATACCCCTCACCTCACCCTCCCCTTCCAAACATGTAGGAGAACCTGTGAGCTTCAGTTGTCATAAAAACTCAAAAGGTGTTTAGTTTGTCCAGTCTGGACTAGTGTTAAAAACATGGCGGCCTCCGTAGAGAGGACCCCCTTGATGTAAATATAAAGTATTTAAATATAAAGGGCCTGTTCTAGGATAAAGAAAACAACAATTCATAAAATTTTGATTAAACACACTAGTAAAAACATTGTGAGGATTATTTTACATTAAATTTTTGCCAATATATCCCTTTCATCTAAATCTTAAACACTGACTAACTAAAATTACCACATCAGCAGCTAGCAAAGTTGACAGATATGATGTTCTCTCGCATCGCTGCCTTTTGGAAGGTTTTAGCAGTCTGATAAAAGCAGGCCTGCTTGGAGGTGGGAGGAGCTTGGGTAGGGAGAAGGAGAGGTACCCCTCTCCTCCAGGAGGTGTTAAGAAAGAGAGGGAAACTGGGGTTTTATTGGCCTGGTGACCTCATGGGTTATGAGGCACACAGTAACCAATAGTGGTTGAAAGTTGTGTCCAGGGGCAGGTTTAACACCTAGGTGTGAAGATGAAGCACCCTGGGAAACTCAGTTCTGAAACCCCACCTTTGTCCTGAAGACAAAGGAGAGGTGATCAGATTTTGGCTAGACATGTAGGTCCATCTATTGTTCACCAATTGTAGGTCCAAACATCCCCCCTTTGGTCTCAGGGTCGCACTTGACGTGCGTTTCTAAGAGGGGAACTTGAACATGTGTAGTCCACAGCTGGAAAAGTCTGTTTTTCAGTTCATTTGGGTTGTATACATTTGGGCATTTGTCTATACTAACTGTATTGGCTAAGCAAGAGTCAAGTTTGACATATAATTCAGATTACAATGTCATTACACTCTGAATAACCATTGTTCTTTGTTATTCACTGGGTAACTGAGAAAAGGGAAGTTAGACATGTTAATTGTTAGGTAAGATGCAAAGAGACTGGAACCTACAATAATAACGCCCTTCTTTTTTGTCCAATAGTTTTGTGATCACTCATTGGATCCTACTCAATCAGAATCAGAATCCTTTATTGTCAATGTTTAACATTGTCACCAACATTAAAACAGTGAAAATTGTTTTAGCAGCTATTCTTGTTACAGCAGCATTTATCAGATTTTTAGAAATCAGAACAAGAATCAAGAAGTAGAAATCTAAATGTACATTTTTTTAAATAAAAACACCACTAAAGAGAATAAACAGTGCAATTTGTACAGTAGGACAGTCAACCTGACAGTCCACCTGAGTATTAGTGCATAATGATTCTGTGCAAAATTACAGCTTCAGAAAAAAATTCACAGTTAATTTTTTCTCATTGGGTAGGCTGAGCGTGTGTGTGTGTGTGTGTGTGTTGTTTAAAATAGTTCTTGGATAGAATGGGAGAGGGGGTAGGTGTGTGTGTTTGTTGTTTAACAGTCCTTGGGAGGTATGGGTGGGGGTGGGGTGATGGCTTTGACGGCCTGGGGGTAAAAGCTGGCTTTGAGGGAGAGGTATCTCTTACCAGAGGGGAGGGGGGTGAAGGATCTATGCTAATGTTACTGGCCTTCTTGTGGCCAGTGTAAATGTCTCTGAGGGGGGGCAGTATGGTCCTGATGATTCTCTCAGCTGCCCTCACCACCCTCTGCAGGTCCCTTAGCAATGCAGCTGGCAAACCACACTGCACAGCAGTAGGTCAGGGTGGTCTCTATGGTGGCCCTGTAGAAGTTGACCATCAGGGGGGGGGAGGTGACCCTGCTATAGCTTCCTGAGGTGTGGACAGACCAGGTGAGGTCAGTTGTTATGTGGACTCCAAGGAATGAAGCTCTGTAGTACTCAGCATGATCTGACAGACTTAATCATTTTGACCTTAAGGCAGGGTGTCGTCATATTTTGTGACAATGTGCTCATGTCCTAACATGTTGTGAGAGGACATATATGGACTACATTATTATTACTACATTATTAACGGAAGTAAATGGTCCAAACGTATTTACAAAGTTTTGACCGAATTTTGGTTTTTGGAGTTTGCTGCTGTTGATAACAAAACAGTTTGCCTATTAACTGCAAGAAACTTAATATACACTGTCAGTACATGGGTTGACTGTGTTGGTTATGGCCGTGAGAAGCGAGCTCTGGATCGCCTGTGCCGTGGCTCAGGGCTGTAACACTCCAGGGAGCCAGAGTCAAAGAGGATTTCAGAGGCACTGTCTGTACATGTGTGTGTGATGTTTTGGTGCCAGATTGGAGTAAGTAGTTAGTTGCATGCAAAGAAAGCATAACAGAACTAACATTAGCTTTCAAAAAACTTTATTCCAAATGATCACAACACAAATAAAACTTATATAATTAATAGAATTTAACAGTCCTGTGCATAGCCTTTAGTGTAATTAGCCAAATTCTGTTACCTGTTCATGAAAAGTGGGAAAAGGCCCAAGTGCTGTTGAACAACAAGATTTATTTTACAAGAATTGCTGAAAATAAAACAGATAGGTGTGTTGGTAATAAATTAGTATACTAGGATAGATAGACTTTTTTAAGAAGTGATTTAAAAGGTGTCAATGAGTCTTTGACATGAGTATGATGTTTGTCGTTCCCATAATCTATTGGGTTAATGAGGGGAATGTCCTGTATTTCTTGAAAATGGGTGTCACCATGAGGGCCTCTCCATTCTTTGTCTCATCCAGCACCAGCTCCAGAAAACACTCGGCTACCTCAGACACACTGAAACAAAAAGGTACAGAGAATCCCAAGTATTTATTTTGAATCAAGTGAGGCGGACTCTGCCAGAAACAATAAAAACTACTATATAAAGAGAAAAAGCCTAAAATTTTATAAAAAGACTTACTTTAACACCCCTTTGTCTGCAGATGTTCTCACTTTATCAGCCAGGTGGGAAAATTGTCCTAATCTGTCTAACATGTGAGAGAAGAGATCGGTTTGGACCAAACTTGGGCAAAGGGCATTAAAACGTATGCCATAGTCAGAGGCACTAGAAGCAGCCTGGTAAAAACATACATACATACACACAGTTAGTCATCAGCTGCTCAGGGGCACAGTGTAAAATACAAGCAACAAAGTAAAATGAAAGTAAAGAGTGTATTTTTCATTATCAGAAGAAATCCTTCTTTACCGCCATGGCTTGAGTAAAGCCAACCACTCCGTACTTGGTGGCCGTGTAGACAGGACAGCTCGGGAATGGACCAAGACCTGTAAGATGTGGGTTATATCAATTATCATGGAGGACATTTTCCCAGAAACTTTCAAAATCCTGACAATAATAGGGATGAACAAAATCATTTCCTGCTCCCAAATTTAAAGCAGTGGTGAACCAGCACCAAACAGCTTTGTTTGTTATGCTTCTGTGTCAGCGAAAGTCAGTGGCCGGAGGTTGAATGTGTACTGGTTTTTCGATCGTCTGTACATATGTCTATCCCATTCTCAAGAACACAATATCTTGGTGGGAATTTCTTGAAACAAACATTCACTTGGAAGTAATTCGATGTTTGTGGTCAAAGGTCAAGATCACAGCGGCTGCAAAAAGCCAATTTTTTGCCATGTGCCTTTATATTTAGCACAAACATTTACTTGGACTCAAAGATGAACTAATACAATTTTGGTGGCTGGAGGTCAAAGGTCCAGTGTCATAACAAAACAAATGTCACAGTGTCCTAACAAAACACATTCTCTGGAACATGTGGACACATGTGTTCTTCAAATTTGGTGAACTGAACTGATTATATTTTAGCACTTGAAGATCAAAGGTCAAAGGTCACTGTGATCTTACACATTACACTTGGCACAAACATTCACTGCAACTCAAGGATGAACTGATAGAGTGAGGGTGGTCAGAGTTCGAAAATATTTTTAACTTTTAAATTTTGCATTAATGTTCACTTATTCATTAACTGATTAGATTTGAAGGTCAGCAGTCAAAGGTCACTATGACCTCATATGAGTCTGAAAAAGAAAACTTAGTTTGTAGACTGAAACTGCACTGGATGGCAGAGGCATACAACCATAGTGTAGTAATTCTAGTTTATTTACACAATGCATCTTGGGCCATACCTGCCATGGATGCAATGTTGATGATGACTCCTCCACGACCTCCAGTCATCTTGTTCATGAGCTCCAAAGTCAGGTAGGTTACTTTGATAACACCCACCTATGTCAGATGATTATTTTGTTGTTAAGTTTTACAACAGAAAACACCACAAAACATTTTTCTCCTTCTGTACTCATCAAACAAGTGATAGTAATGACACAGCAGAAATGAGGAGCTTTGCCTGATTGAAGATTTTATTAATAATAACCTGAAGGATGACATCAGATTGTAAATTCTTACGAGGTTTATGGAGACACTTTTCTCCCATGCACTCTCATCCAAGATGCCAGCATTGTTGCACAGGATGTCCACTCCTCCAAAGGTTTGCACAATTTTCTGAAATGCAGCTTGACAGCAGAAAAGTATTCAATTTTGCTTAGGTTGATTGTTGAACCTCCACTGAGGAAGTTATGTTTCCACTGTCCACATTTAAGACACAGATCCAGACAGTGGCTTTTTTTTGTTGACAATTTTACTGTCTCTGATTAATTCATGGATTTTGATGGAAAAAAAATCTGGCACATTCTGGGCATGATATCTATGAGTGTGTGAAATTTGGTGCAGCAGGATTTAATTTAATGGGACTGGGCTTTGGTGGAGGAATGCACTGTCTTTGTTGTTATGTCCTGCCTTTAATTACTGGACATACTGTAAATCATTCCCTCAAGGTCACATCTCATAGCAAATTTAAAGCCACAGGGCATTAGACTAGGTCCCAGGACTGACTGAGGACTCACTATGCCCACAGGTAATTGTTAATCTTGGGAAGACTGCCATCCAGTACTTTGGACCAAAGAAAATGTGATGAACAATCATTTCTTAATTAGTTAAAAATTAAAACTTCTATGAACTCTTCTCCAAATTGCAGCACCCAGACTCCTCACCAAATCTGTTAAAAGAGCATATAACTCTTTTAACTTTTATTGGCATCCAGTAAATATGAAAATTGATTTTAAAGTTTCTTTCCTGACTTTTAAGGCCTGTTCTAGACGTGCACATTTTTGGATATTTTGACAACATATGTTCCTGGTCAGTGAAGGCCCTACTCGCCATTACACAGTCCTGGCTGAGAACTAGAGATGAATGGGCCTATTCTCCCTGAGAAGACCTGCCTGGCAAACTAGAGAGGACCCAATCCCAATAAAAATATTTAAACATAAATGGCCCATACTAGGGTGAAGAAAACAATTCATACAATTTAGATGATCATTATTTTCATTATTATTATTATTAATGTGTCCTATGTTTGTTTTCTCTGCTGTCCTTAAGTGTCCTTAAGTATCTCAATCTCAATTAAGTAACTGATTAATCATTTCCATGGTAACAATGATAGATGAGACTCAACCTCTGTCTTGTGAGTGTGTGTGTATGTGTGTGTTACCCTTGAGCTGCTCCTCTGACTCAACGTTACAGTTCAGGAACAAGGTTTTCTCTCGTCCGTACTGCTTGTCGAGGGACCCCTTTAAACTCTTCCCTGCATTTTCGTTCACATCCAGGAGGACTACCTGTGCAGGTGGAGGTCAGTCAGGGAGCTTGCCAATTTTTTCGTGGCTCCATTTTCAACTGTTTGCATAGATCGGCTAAAATATACAGTGGTAAAGCTGGCCGGACAATATGCAGAAAGATCTTACCGTAGCACCATTTTGTAAAAGTATCTCTGTTATTGCTTTTCCGATGCCTAGTGCTGCTCCGGTTACTACTGCGATTTTACCATTCAAAGCCATTTCACCTGTTCGGTCTATGGTTCAAATAAGTGAGGAGGAGGAGGCCAGCTGTAGGATCCCTGTGAAATATACAGTATTAAATCCAGAGGTGCGCTTTTATATTGACAGAGGAGAACACAACATGTCTGTCAAAACCAGCTGACAAGGAGGGCACAATATGTGCAGCTATTAAACTGTCCTGAGTTAAACATCGACATCATTCAAAGGTTAAGAGGTAGCAGTAGTGAGTAAATGAATGAATTCCACTGTAAATCATCATCCTTTTTCACTGCTATATTTGACAGTGACAATATTGATAGAGGACTATTCGACTGTAAATATGCTAGACATGGTGCTATCATATATGAATGATTCTGACATTCTCGGCCTTATCACCAAAAGGTCTCTTGAGGTCTTCGTCTGTGTTTCCTATGTGTGTGGCACCGCTTTTTCATCCTGAGATGTATGTATCCTCCTTGTTTTGTTTTTTAATTTTTGCATCTGCCGTGTATTAGAAATGTCATCAACACACACACTCAGGGTGAATCCTGCGGAGGATCTCCTGTTGTATCCTTACTACTGACAGGAGAAATTCTGGAGAAGGTCAAGAACTGCTCACTTGGACATTTAGAATAGAATAGAATGCCTTTAATGTCATCACACAATGAAGCAGCTACCACTGAAAGGTGCTCAGTGTTCTGACAGCCCATGAATAGAAGCTGTGACTCAGTCTATTGGATCTGCATTTTAATGACCTGAGCCACTTCCCAGACTGCATCAGGTTAAACAGTCCATGGCCGATGTGTTGGCTGACCAGGTGAGGTCCTCATCGATGTATGTCCCCAGGTACTTGAATGAGGCCACTCTCTCCGCGCTCGCTCTGTTGATGGTCAGTGGAGCATGGATCCCACTCTGTCTACTGAAGTCAAGGATCAACTCTTTTGGCTTACTGGTGTTCAGCTCCAGATTGTTCATCGAGCACAACGCTGCCAGCTGCTGTATGTCTCCTCTGTAGGCTGTCTTGTCACCCACCAAGATCAGACCTACCACAGTGATGTCGTCAGCGAATGTGATGATGGAGATGGAGGGGTGGATGGGAGTACAGTCATGAGTGTAGAGGGCGTACATTTCTCACATACAGAACCTCGGAAGTTTATGTCTGAAAGCAGGTTGCGTGGGAGCAGTGAGACCGACCAGATTATCTGACTGCAGTAACAATACAAGGACTTGAAGAAGAAGTGACACAGAGATGATAAATCTCTGGAATTTGCTTGTTCACCTATACTGCTGCAAGAATGCTGAATTACTCCCTCAAAAAGAAACAAATCTGACAAAGAAGAGAAAGACAATGAACAGAACAACATTGTGCTCCTTGTGTGAAAGTTGCAACTGGAACACTCCCTTAAATTGGGATTCTGTCTGTGAGCTCTGAGATATAATGGAAAGCGTCATTGACACAGGGTAATTCAAATAAATTTCTGACCGGGGACACTTGAAGGTTTTAGAACAGCAAGGAGGCAGAACGATACAAAACATAGGAATTCAACATAATCATCACTGCTGCATAACAAATATGCCAATACAGATTTTTATCGATGTCTGCAAGGTATTGATGAAACTTGTGGATTTGGGTTCTGATACACTGTACGATGGTAGTTTTTACCACCCATTTCTGAAACTTTACTCGCTTGCTGTTCAAACCTTTCAGGACAGTCTGGAAAATGCCCCTCGCTCTCTTCAAACTCAGACAACCGATTATCTCTAAAGTGAGTCCATCCATAAAGTTTTTCACCATATGCGATGTGTCCTTGATAAACTTGTCGCTGACGCCCAACAGAGCACCATGTTTTTTTCTGCACCTTCTCTGCCACTGCTGTGATAAATAGCTTTCACCCTTTCCACAAGATCAAAGGCGATGTGGTACAAGGAAATATAGCATCAAAGGAAATATAGCATCAGAGAAAAGCTAGGGAATTTTTCACACACACACACACACACACACACACACACTTCAACTTCAAGTAAAATTCCTGCATTCTAAACCTCACTTTAGTAAAGGTGTTTGAATATTATCAGTAAAATTGTCACATCTGTACATATATTTTATTATTTAATATTTTCAGTTCATGCACTTCTTGTTTTAGTTTGTAACTCACCATGTCTCTCGTTTCTTCACTTCCGGCCTTTGTTTTTTTCCTGCCACATTGATTAGCTGCTCCGCCCTCATTACATACACTTGTATCTTGTTAGCTCCCTCACCCACAGCTTATAGCTTGCCCTCTCCCCTGGTCTTCCTGGTCTGACTGATGTCCTTCGTACTGAACCATTACTGCAGTAAAGACTTTGAAAACCTGTAACTGTGTGTTGTGTCTTGCTCTTGGGTCTACTCTCTCTACTCTAGAAATCTACCCACTCGTTCCACAAACTGTCTGTCTGTATGTGGAATGCATATCTTGCAAACTGTGTGTCTTATCGGCTTCACAGCTGGCATGTGTATTGTAAATGGCCCGAGGTAGAGCAGTGTCGACTTTGGTGCAATAAACACTTGCCATATGTTCAATATTGATAAAATAAATCTTAAACAGGTGACCAGCTCTCTGCAACAGTCAGTGGTAGCAGGGCAGTGCCTGCAGACAGCAACTGGGATAAATCATTTGTCCGGCTGTTTGATTAAGAATAGTAATTTTCTATAATTCGTGTGTGAAGAATCAGCTGCTTAGCAAGTTGTCCTTAAAGTAAAAGTTCAACATTTGTTTTGGTTAAGGTTCATCAAACCAGACATTAAGTAAAAACATAAAATACATTAAATAAAGGCATAACATTTGCTTGAGATAAAACAACAAAACAGTTTAGTTTCAGAACATTCACACTGTTAAGTGATGTCCTAGATTTCAAAGACGTACTTGTCAAAGACATACACATGTCAATATTTAAATCACAGACAACAACACATCACACCTTCCACAGGCCTATAGGCTATTAGAGGAGCCTGCAGTTACTAAAGAGCTCCCCCTGCTGTTATGTCTGCTGTTCCCCTTGAGCAGCCCATAATTAAGTTTAACTGACAGTGGTACGAATGAATGTTTTTAATAGTTATGTTTACACAGAGGGACCCAGTACCTCTTTCCACAGATCATTAAAACATACTCAGAATACAACACATGAGAGGGGTCAATCAGTGGCGGCTGGTGATAAAATTTATTGGGGGGGTGCAGTTTTTACAGAGATCATCTTCACTGGTCAGCTCACAGTGCAATAACTCAGTGATGGTGGATGTACCTGAGACGGCATCAAGAGTCAACCAGTAACGCAGAGAGTTGCGTAGCATGGAAAATCTGCAACAACCAGTTAAAGAGCAGCCTCAGGTCCCATGGTTTCCAAAAGTATCAGGACCCACATTCACATCCATTTGGCCGGCATCCCGCACCAGGAATATTATTAAAATAATATTTACAAAGAAATTATCCAAATACAATTTGAAAACAACTTATTGTGGATGCTCACAGACGCTTGCGGTCAACCAGGAGCATTATACGAGTAAAATATTATTATATGATAAAATTATGTATAACATTTTTTTACAGGCTTTTTGTCTCAGGATGTTGGAGTTGGTGGCGACCCAGCGCCCTGTATTAATCAGCTGCCACTGGATAACAGACATGTCAAAAAGGTTTTTGTTGCTGCAATGCTTTATATCGAACTGAATTATAAAGCATTAACTTTGAAAAGTTGTGACCTTGGGACTGAAGATTGTGTTGATTGCTTAAAACTACTCTGAAAAAGCTGATAAATAAAAAAAATCACAAGGGTTGAGTAAATCAAACTAACCCAAGCCACACATATGAACAGCAATGAAGCATATTCAGTTTCATTTTCTGAAAACTATCACATCTTCATTGCAGGTGAACCAGGTGGGATGAATGCAAAGTTTATTAACTTCACTCTGCAACATAGACTGTTTATAAAAGCTCTGCCCATAAACAATAAAAAGTGACTGTATATTGTGAGGAGGACTCACTAATTACAAGAATTAACTTCAGAAGTAGCTCCAGAGCATCACCACAGGCCAAGAGAACAGAACATTACACACAGGCAGGTTCAGAGCAGGAGCTGCACTAATGAATTTAAGGTATAAAAAATTAGTGGAATAAAATGTTCCCTTGTTTTATTATTCTATCTGATGTTTTGGATTTATATAACTGAAACAGGCCTTCTGCATTGCGCTGCGGTACATGTTTGTGTATGACTTCACATGCTGGTGTGTAGTTCATCTCAGTTTGGCAAAACAAACAGAACAAAAAGAAAGAAATACGACTTCTTGGGTTCTAACCTGTGGGCGTGTCGCCGCGCTGGCGCAGACAGGAAGTCCTCAGATCTGCTGCGCATGCTCAGTGAGCCGCCGCTGGTTTGTGTGTAGATGTTATGGCCGTCGCGATGCAGACGGAGGACTTTCCTTACTTACCTTCGGGTCTGGCGGAGGGTATGGCCTGTTTCTAACCTCTTACCTAATGCTGTGCAACGCGGTGTTGACGACCCGGTCAAAGCCGAGACGCGCCCGGCTTAAAAATGCCAGTGTTGTTGCTAATTTCCCGCGAGCTAACTGTAGCCGGCAGCGCGACTGGAGCGCACAGAGCGGTTTTGCTAATCTATGCTAAGCTAGCCGTAGCCGTTTCGGCTCCAAGGTCGACGACAGCATGTCTGCATCTGATTCAGGGTCCGAGTGACTGTTCAATCCCTGTGACTGTGCACCAGTGGAGACTGAGGGAGGCATCTTTAGGTTTGCTGCAGCAGACATGCCACGCTTTAGCTCAGACGTGGGTTGCACTATAATCCCGCTGTATCTCTTGTAGCTGGTGTTTTTTTTTACTCATGAAGTTTTGGATGTCAACCCATGAGCTAAACTGTGTATTATGAGTCGTCTGAATGTAATCCTTAAAAACAACCTCAGCCTTGTTTGAGTGGATCCTCCGTTTCTAGTTGACGGTTATGTTGCTACTACGACTGTGATGGTGGAAGTGATGCCAAAACAAAGTGCATACAAACATAATGTGATCTCAGTAGTTAATAAAGGGTCTGTGGCTTTAGATATGACAGATCAGATATCAAGTCACAATGCTCCACTATTCCCAAGAACAATTTAAAGTGCATACCCATTAAATCAAAACAAATGGCTGTGAAAAGAGCTGAACTCTTGCATATCCTACAATGATTGTCTATAACGGCCTGGACAAAAAAAGTGCTTCATAAAGTGATAATGCACAAAAAAACACAACATAATACTTTGTTTTTTGTTACATTTACAATTTTTGAAAATTACGATATTGAAAACAAAATAAAACACAGAACATTCTTTGCTGCAACACTTCTTTATAAGGCTCAATGAACAGAACACGCTTTACTGATCTAGAGTGTCTTGAGAATTTGTAGAATTACAGCAACTGCATTCTGCAGTTTTGGGGATTTTCTGGCAAAACAATCAACAAATCAGTCAAGATTCAAAGCCTTTGAACGCCTTGACTCGCACACCCAGGTTGCCTAATCTCTCATCAGTTATGGTGGACCTGAGGTAAGTTTTCACCATCTTCAGTGTAGAAAAACTCTGCTCACAAGAAGCAGCACTCACTGGGATCGTAACTGCTATTTTGCAGAGTCTGAAGAGCTCAAAAAACACTTCTTTGTATGGCTCAATTAACAGTACCAGCTGTACTGTACTAGAGGGTCTCTGCATCCTGGTCTGTATTTTCTTTTCTAAGATTCTTGCTTCTCCTTGCTTCTAGTCGGCTGGAGCAGCAGCCAGTGAAGGTGCACCACTAAGAGATCTGACTAGAACAGTGGCGTCAAACTCCACCACACAGGGCCAAAATAAAGAACTGGGATACGTCGAGGGCCAAACAGGGTCAACATTTATTAAAAAGGATAGACAGGATATTGGATAAAGTGCAAAAAGAAAACATATTTAGGTAGGCTTGTCAGTGAGACAACTCCTGTGTGGGTTTTTGTTCATCACAGAGAAAAGCGTGTGAGTGAACTTGACGGGGCACAGACAGCAGCACACAGACACTGGGATCTCTGGAACACTGTAAAAATAATTTAATAACACCAAATAGTTGGCAGGTGGGGAGGGGCACTTGTTTTGTTCGGTCTAGCCGGGCATTGTGCACCGTGGCTAGGCTATTGGATCCTGTGCATGCCGCCTGGCTCTCTGGCCAGAACGAGATGGAGAGAGAAAGACATAAGGAAAAACAGATAAGCCTGAGAGACACAGTGAACTTGATGGGGCAGGCACTGGGATCTCTGGAACGCTGGAAAAATAATTCAATATCATCAAATACTCGGCGAGTGAGTGGAGAGGAGCACTCGCTCCACGTGCGTCTAGCTGGGCATTGCACACTTGCTCGGCCTATGGAGCTTTTTTTTTCACAAAAAAAGTCTGCGTTCTATCTAAGATAGATATATTTTTACCTTGAGTTTGACATCTCTGGACTAGAATATTGAGCCACACACATCTATTCCACCCTTCACATCAGCATCATATAATCACAAGAGAGCGATAATTTTATTATTATTATATATATTATTCGGTCGGAGGGTGGCCACAGGGGGATCCAGGCCCAGTGTTACAGAGGCTCTGACCCCTGATTGACCCCCTCCAAAACCACCACAGCTCAGTTGCTAATATAACCTCCTTGGACAAAGAGGAAAACTTACTAGGTTGAATACGTCTTTCGACAAACTACAACAGCTGGCAGCCTGCGCCCAATAATGTCTGTACCACAAGACCATTTTGATGATTTGATTATTTTTACTTCATTCGTATATAAAAAAAATTATGTTATGGACACCTATGTATGACAGGGAGATGTGACTTAACAATGCTGATACAAACAAACTCAGCAAGCTTAAGACATGATATGAGTGATGAAATTTAATCTCCCGAATGGATACTTGTCTTAATATTATCTGAATTCTACTTAATATTATCTGAATTATATCTCTACACGTAATGTCAAAATGTCTGTGAGTCAATGCATTAAGGTAAATTAATTCTGTAGACGGTAAGAGCCACCAACAATGGCTGAGACTCAGCAGTCAGGCCTGAAATATGCTTCTGTGTCTGAGTACGTTGCTCACAAATGTCTACACAGACATTAACATGTGCGTAAAGTCGATAAGATGCTCTTATGTTCTTGTTTCTGATAAGAGTTGTGGTTGAATTCCTGTTTGAACTGTTGCCATGTAGAGATCTTTCTTTTTTAATTTGCATTCTCCCAGATGATGTAACCTGATTTGAAATCTCCCCTTCCTCCACCTGCAGTAAATAAGATGATAAAGGAGCACGGTGACCTGTTTTCTGACTCCCAGTGTAAAGTCTGCAGCGCTGTCCTCAATTCTGAGTCTCAGAAGTTGACTCATTATCAGGTCAGTGAGCCCATAGTCTGCTGATGCTCTCTCCACATCGGTTTTATTTGATGGTGCTACTTTTCTCAGGGAAATATGGGGAATACTTACTTGTTATTTTGTTTATAATTGTTGAATGCACTTGTCATATTAGTGGCTTTATTACTTATACAGGAGTAAGGCAGCATACATGTCTTCATCAAATCACTACGTTCTACTCAAATATAAAAGACAATGATATTAATGGGGAACAACTAATCTTACATATTTGTCTTAAATGTCAGTGTAAATTTTGATATTTCTCTGTCGCCTTTTACTGGCTGCAAAGATACATACAAAACGTTCCCGTATGAAGTTTATGGCAAACATTGACTAGAAATTCTCCAGTGTTATCCTTTCATCCATTTTTGCTGCTTATCCAGGTGATCTTTGATAATATAATAACTTACAGTAGAGTTCCCAAATGCTTTCTGGAAACTGTAGTTTTGACTTCACATCTTTTTCAGGACAGAAAACCAAAATCAGCTCACTCACCAGCCACAAAAATATGCTTCTTGAAAATGTGTTTCATGCTGTGAATTGTGGTGATGATGTTTGTTTTCCACCATGTGATAAATGTTTGTACTTCTCTTTGCAGAGCAAGAAACATGCCAACAAAGTGCGACGTTATCTTTCGAACCCAAACGAAAAGGAGCCAGTGTCCAAAAAGTTAAAGACGACATCTGAAAGTGTGAGTAAGGATGTTTTCAAGCCAAATCCAAACAGCAAAATATCCTCAAACTAACATCAGGAAAAGTTATAGGTGAATGAAAAAATGTAGGCACACATGCGTAAATCATCTATTTTGTGTTTTTTTTTTAAATGACACATACAAAATGCACCTTTTTAAAATGTTAATGAAAAAGTGAGCAAACGTTTGGGTTCTGTACTAAGTCGGGCCATTGTGAATATGCTGAACTGGTTTTCTTTTGACTTAAAAAAATCGAATCTTCTGTGTAAGTTCCCAAACTTGCGTTCAGTTGAACTTTATCTATTGTAAACAGACAGTTTAGACTTTTTGTAGCATAAATGATTCAGGTTCCTGTGTGTGACTGTTTCAGGAGGACTGTAACAACAGAGATCGCTATAAGGCGTGTCATATATGTAACATGACATTCTCTGCTCCTGTGGTGGCTGAGTCTCACTACAACGGTAAAGTTCATGCCAAGAACCTGAGGTTGAAGGCAGTAGGTCCCCAGCCCCCAGGTATGTGGGATTCTATTCAGAACCTTTTTACACTTCATTTTCTTTATCTGTTTTGTACATTTCTTTACACCGAAAATAGAGAATAGTCAACTTAAAAAATGTATTAATTTGTGTGCTTCAGATTGAAGTATTTTTTGTTGGCAAACTAATTTTCAGTTTTTCTTTTATCGGAGTATCTTATTTAAGCATGAGTCCATCATTTACGTGTTTTTCAATTTGTTATTAACTGGATGTTTGTGAAGAACTACACAATTTAACAATTTAACCTTTTTAGAATTGTTTTTGTTGTATCGCCTCTTCAGCAGTCGCCTCCCAAACTGCACCAACGGCTCAGCCCAAGAAGAAACCTGCAGATGATTCGATCGCTGTGGTGGCAACGGGCGGCGGCAACAACAATGACCGTTTTTGCTCCATCTGCCAGGCCTCCTTCAACAACCCACTCATAGCCCCGCAGCACTACGTGGGCAAGAAGCATCGAAAACAGATGACCAAGCTCAAACTGATGGAGACGTATGGTCCCTCCACAGCACCAGGTCAGAGCGCAGAGTCAGGAATTCATCAAGCTGCATTTGGAGAACTGCCATTTTAATCGCTCTACTTACAGAAGTCATCTCTCCTGTGAAGATAAATAATGAATTATGTAATAATTCTATATTCTTCTATATTATGTGGTGAGATTTAGATGTACAGAATTTATGAAGATTTACTTTTCTCTTCTGTCTACAGGTTCCACACTAAAGGGCTACCCATGTACTGTCTGCAAGATTGAACTAAACTCGGTGGAGCAGTACCAGTCTCATATCACTGGTGCAAAACATAAGAACCAGTACGTATAACACATCTTTTTATTTTTAAAGAGAAGAATTTCCAGTTAATTACATGGAAGTGATGTATTGCTTCTCATTAAATTCCTTAATTCTGTAATACATAGGTGTTAATTTTAGTTTTGACCCCCAAAATCAGTATCTAGTGAGGTATGCCACATATGACTTGATTTTGTCTGACAAGTAAAATCTGAGTAGGGATCAGTGAGGATGAGGTCGTATTTAAAGGAACCTCTTTGGTGAGAGAATGGGCTGTGATTGGTGGGTGGCTGACGAGCACCCATAAACCTATCGGTAGCTGACAGCTGAGCACAGGACTGCGTGTCCTGCATGAACTAACACAATGCTTCATTAAAATAAAGATGTCTTAAATGTTTTTTCCAAGAATAAAGAAGTCAGGCCTGAACACTACAGAGAAACAACAAGCAGTAGAACAATCACAAGGAGGCAACAACCAGGTCTCCAGCGGAGATGGAGACCAATGCACTGCTGAAGATGACCAGTTTGCCCCCGTGGACGACCAGTATGCCGCTGGAAATGATCAGTATGCTGCTGGAAATGATCAGTATGCCGCTGGAGATTACCATTATGCCGTCGGGGATGACCAGTACACAGGCGAAGTAAACCAGTATACCCCTGAGGACACGCAGTACTCAGAGGAATACCAGTTCACCTGAGGCTGGACTGGGTCAGGACTGCTGAGGTTTCAGTCAGGACTTGGAATGACACACAGCAACCAGCCCCTTTAACACATTAACCAACCATCACCATCCACAGACCTCCAGCTCCAGTCTCTTCTCAGTAGGTTTTCACCGGGAGAGTCATCTAAACCGTGGGTTTGATTCCTGGAATTACCCCGTAGTATTAAGTCCTTGTGCATTTTCAGCTGGAACGGTTGAAGAAAGTTTTTTTTTTGTATTGTTTTCTCATAATGAAAAAAGTTTGTGGTACAATGATGGTAAGAAGTTCCACCCTTCATCATGTGATACAGGGCTCAGAAGTGATGTAGCTCCACTTACAGTCACAATGAAGAATGTATGTGAGGGTTTATCTTCTGACTGAAAACAATTCTGCATTTGTACATTATGTCTGAGTATCATCTGAAATATGTCAATACTGATGCTGTTTTTATTTTCAGCACTTCAGTGCTGCTGTCAGACACATTTCAGCCAGTACCAAAA